CATAGGCAGAATCAACACCAGATAGGAAGTACAGACAGAAATCAACACCAGAGAGGAAGCTGGGATGCTCTTAGAATCATAGAATCATTATGGTTGGAGAAGACCTCTGAGATCATCAAGTCCAACCATCAACCCAACACTCCCATGGCCACTAAACCATGTCCCCAAGTGCCACGTCCACATGTTGTTTGAACCCCTCCAGGGCTGGGGACTCCAGCACCTCCCTGGGCAGCCTGGGCCAATCCTCACCACTCTTCAGTAAAGAAATTCTTCCTCCTATCCAATCAAAACCTCCTCTGGTGCAACCTGAGCCCATTATCCAAAAACAAGGAAAAACTCCAAGAACCAGCAAATGTTAGAAAGTGAGAAAGAATACATTAGGAATTAAATTGTGTTTGAAAAGGCAAGTTAAGAAGCCTGAGCAGCCTGCCTTAGACAGCTCAGGAGAAATAAAACCAGCCTGTCTGGCCCCCAAGGCTGCACATGAACCCTCTGCAGCAACTGTCACATCAGATTCAGATGATTCAGCTCATGTTTTCCCCCCTTGACTTCATTCCCTTCCTCCCAACTGTTATTGTTTTGAGGACAATCAATGACTCTGCCTTTCAGCTTATTGACATCACGCCTGAAAAACCCCAACCTCCCCTGTCCCCCTCCCTCATTCAGACTATTTTTGGATATCCCAGCTCAAGGCTGCTGTCCTCTCAGCTCCACCTCCTTGCAGGAGGACCCCCAAGCCCAGCTTGGTGGCATGGAGGAGTGGGAGACTTGGTGGTCACTGTGGTGGTGCTAACCTGGCTCGTGTCAAATGAAATGGCTCAGAGGGGTCACAGCAGCTGCTCCATCAGAAAATCTGATAATAGGTCAATAACATGTGAACTAAAAGGGAAATGAGTCACCAGAAGTGACAAGCAGAAGAGGATATCAGCCCTAAAAAACCTCAAAGGCTCTTAGCTGTTCTCCACTGAACTTCTCTCTGCACAGAAGAGCCCAACATAGCAGGGCTCAGAGCTACATGTGCACATGAAGCTGAAGTCACCCTGTGGAAGTGCTGGAGCTGGATGATGCCTCATCTCCAATCACTCCTCACTGCAGTCCTACCCCTGCAGCCTCCCCAAACCCATGGCCCCGTGGCACAGGACATCCAACTTCTCACTTCTCTGCTCATGGCTGAGGGTTCCAACTTCCCTGCCACGTAAAAGGAACTTCACAAGGGCACCACTCGGCTGCAAAATCCAAGTGGACTGAAAAGATAAATGTGAGTTACCCCTTGCCCACTCCTAAATCAGCCCAGAGCTTCATCTCTGTACTTCTGGAACAGATGGGACCTTCTGCCAGTCTTTAAACCACTCAAGAGCACTTTCTTCCATAAGAAATCAAACTAATTACTAGAGTGAGATCCCATTTTCCCTCAGTTGTTCTGCTGTTTTTATCCTTCTCCCACTCCATTTAGGCAACTGCAGATGTGGACATCCTGTAGACCATGGATGCAAAGACAATCACCTCGTAGCACTTTGCATGTTGGATCTACTTGAAGCTGTCCCTGCTCAGTGCAGGGGGGTTGGACTAGATGACCTTGAAAGGTCCCTTCCCACCCAAACCACTCCATGATCCCTAAACACAGCAGAGCAAAGGCTGCTCTACAGACCAGCCCTACCAGGCAAATATTCCATTTTACAGGAGTGGTTTTTAAATCCTCTAAAAGCTCCCAAGACAATTTTTATTTCCAACTTAAGGATCATTTTTTTTTCTAATGAAACAGTTTTCTTCTTGATCCTGTAGGTGTTTAGGTCAAGCTAAGCCAGTCCTGTTTCTCCCAAGAATCTGTGAGCATTAACTTCATGCCTTTACCAACTTCAAGATACCTGGAAATCAACATCAAAATTAGAAACTTCCCAAATTGTTTTGGGAAACCTTCTAAGAATGGCTTCAGAGGGCTACAGGACATAGATAACAAGCCCTAAAAAAGCCTGAGGTCCAGCAATACCAGTTCAGACTCTTGGATGAGTCCCAGGTACCCAGGGATGTCAACTCCTTTTACAAAAAAAACTGTGATGCTCAGTACCTCCAAAGGCACAAAAAGCTGCAGAGAGTGGATTTTGTAATAACTAAGCAAATTTAGTGGTGGATTTGTGATCTAGTGGGTATTTGTAGAGTGGGAAATAAACCAAAGCAGCTAGTTATGTGTTGCCTAGCTGCAGACTGTAATGGGAATAGTTTCCCTGCAGGTAAATCACTTTCTATTACTTCTAAGTACCCCAGGAAAAATACTAATTGAAAACATGGCTCTAATACTGTCCAGCTGGAAAATATCAGCTTGGGATGGGACTTGCTTGACATTGGCTGCCAACTGGCTAGGCACAATGGAAAAGGAAATTAATCTCTTGCAGACAAGACGTCCCATTTTCCACTTCTCCTTTGTAACCCTCCAATAAACTCATTATTAACCAAAGGCTTTGATTCACGTGGGGAAAGAAAAACCTCCACCTCTCTGTGACAACCCAAGTCTGGAGTTCTTGCATTAAAATGAAGGCTCTGGGATTTTGACAGAGAGTCACTGGAGAATGGCTTGCAGCCCAACAGTGGGCTAATAATTAAAGAACAGACAAAACACAAAGAAAAACACAGTTCTACAACTCTATATTGTCCCAGCCCATCTTCCTGCAGCTCCTTCCTAAGAGTTTTTTTTCCCATGCAGGTGCAAAAGGGATGAGGGGAAAAAAAAAGGTACTGAGACAGCTTTTTCTATTTAAATTCATTCATCTGCAGCATCCAGAATACCTCCAAAGCATCACTCCTCAAGCAGCTCACAGCCCACAACCTTCCTGAGTCTCTCCTCTCCACGTCATTTCAGCTTTGCTCAAACACTGACTTCTACACATACTTTTATTCCCTATCCAAATTCTCCAAGCTATATCACTCCTCCCCCAAAAAAATGTAGTAATTCTCCTTGTTCTGCACCCAGAACAAGGTTTAGGGTCTGAAAAAGGACATCTGCCCACAGGCTTATTATACTTCAAACCAGCTTCTCTTTCTGTTCTTGAGTAACCCAAGGAGGCCAGATGAGGGAGATATGGAAGATGTGGTGGCAGAAAGATGAAACCCTGTCTGTGGTGCTATGGAAGCACTTCAAAAGAGAAGAATCCAACATTCCTATAATCAAAGAAGAAATTGAGAAGGACAAAAAAAGCAGAGAGAAGGAAAAAGCACTGCCAGCTGAATAAGAGGAGAAATAACAGACTCATCAGAACATAACAGACCCAAAGTTTTCTATCTTCTCTGTAGTTTTTTTTTGAGTGCAGATGAACTTATCAGATCAAAAAGTTTGGGACAGCTTTTTTCTGGTCTGATCCTACAAGAGAGGTGCTTTTAGTTCACTTGCTTCCAGCAAATGGAAAGAGGGCAAGTGCCCCCAGACAGACAGCAACCCAAAATCATCAGCAGCCAGGCTACAGCCTCAAAAATCTGCCTCCAGCCTGATGGGAATGTCCATACACATCCCACAGGTTCTTCAGTGAAGAAAAAGCTCATTCTAATTTGTTGAGTGACAATCTCATTTTCCAAGCATGTATTTCAAAGTCTGGGTGGGCTGTTAGTGGTTAATGACTTCCAGTGCCTATCATCCTCCTAAAAGAAGGACAAAAAGTCTAAAAACTCCAAAAACCTGAATGATCTGGAGGGAAATGAATGTCAATTGGGAGCAGAAGCACTCAGAGCCTCCAAGGAAAGGTCCCAGAGACAGGTCAGCTTAGCTGCCCAGTCCCCCAATGACCCCAAATTATTGAGCACCTTTGAAAATTCACTTTATTTTCAATACACTCCAAAGTTCATCTCTGTAAAACAGGCACAATAATCCCTGACTTCAGAGGAAGGTAATGATTAATTCATGAAGAACTCAGAAGTGTGGAGCAATCCCAGGAATCATTCCAGCTTGGGCCTAAAGGTTTGGCTGGAACACAGTTAATAACCAGAACAAATAATGCAGCTAAGACAATCCACAGAAAAGCTTTTTCTACATGCTGCCCACCCAGAACATGCTGCAAGACACCAACTGGGTGGAAAAACTGTTACAACTTGCCACGAAAGACTAGATTTACACATAAGGAAGAGCTAAAGTGACACAGAGAACCTGAATTGTGGCATTTCCTGATCCTAAGGTCAAGACTTAAATATCATTATTTACCAAACAGAACTTTGGAGGTCAGAGTGCTTTAAAATAATTAAAATACATATTTTTTTTTTTAAAGAAAAGCATTTTTTGCTCTCTCATCACAGTAATAGAAGGTGAGAAACTTTGTGCCTGGACTAATGAGGAAGATTTCCAAAAAAACTGAAATCTAAATGAACCAAACCAACTATCTTCAAAACCCAAAATAATCAGTGTTCTCAGGTTCTTCATTTCTTCTGCCTGTGTACAAGCCTGCTAGTCAAAGCAGCTCATTAAAAAGCTCTTCTAATTCATTAGGCTCCTTTTTAAACACGCTTTGCCTAAAAATACAACATGTTGTGTCTAAGAACACCCCAGCCTGCTGCAAGACAATGATTTCTCCACACTATTATCCCATCAGGAGATGAATCTAAATACATAGTTATAATCAGAAATATGTTGACACTCTTGCAGCCCCCAGCCATGATTCCAGCCCTGTTTGCTTGGAGGTATCACAGAAAAATGGTTTTATTTGCAGCATCTACAGCTATTTCCAGCCTAATGTTCTACTGTGTAGAGCTACGTTCTTCTCTATGGCAAGGCATAAAAATTAACAAGGCAAACACAATAGCTCAGACCCTAAAGTCTATTTTTTACCTAAACCACCCCCCAAGTTGTAAATAAAGGGCTAAAAGCAAATGAAAACAAAGATCTCTTGGCCCTCCCAGCCTTACAACTTCTCACAGGTATACGACAAACAAAGGATTTGGGATTTTAGGTTAAGTGTCTAAGCCAAGCATCTTAAAAGCAGCATGCATTATGGTCAGGCCCATCCTAAAGCAGCAGCTCTCACCTTTATGCTTCCCCCAATGAGATCTGGTGGCTCTTCATCTGTTTCTAAGGCAACGTTGATGGAGGCGAAGGGGCGACTCGCCATCTGCTGCATCTCACGCAGGAGTTGCTGATTTAATAAACAGAAAAACATTATTAGCAGATTGTTCCAACACAAAGGCAAAAAAAAAAACACCCCACCCCAACGTGTATCCGAAGAGATTTTAGCCAGCACAAAGGGATTTCAATGGAGAGGGGAAAATAACCCCTTGGGGCTTCACGGGGCTGAAGGGTACAGGCAGATAATTGGGAATTTTCATGTGCTTATTAGTAATATTCAATAATTTAACAAGTTTTTGGAGGTGAGGTTACAGATACAGTCTAAGCCTAACTTGTTTGTGAGGGAAAACACATCTGCTTATGCCTCCATCAGGTAGATATCTCCTTTTTAAGCTGGGGTATCCTACTTGTTTGTCATCACCTGTCTGGGACAGGACAGGACTCTGTGGGATTGGTGAGAACCAGCTGAAAATTCACCCAGCAGAGGGACCTGACTCCCAGAACAAAGGAGTTGACATTTTTGCTTCTTTTTGGCTTCAGTGGCTAAGCTCTAAAACTAACACCAACCGTCACCATGTGTAAGTGGATCACAGAATGGTTTTTGTGGGAAGGGACCTTCAAGATCATCCAGTCCCAACCCCCTGCCATGGGCAGGGACACCTCCCACCAGAGCAGGTTGCTCCAAGCCCCATCCAACCTGAACCTGAACACCTCCATGGATGGAGCATCCAAAACTTTCCTGGGCAACCTGGGCCAGTGTCTCACCCCCCTCACAGTGAGGAATTTCTTCCTAATATCTAATCTAAACCTCCCCTTTTTCCATTTGAACCCATTGCCCCTCATCCTATCACTACAAACCCTTGCTAAAAGTCCCTCCCCAGCTTTCTTGTAGGCCCCCTTTAGATACTCAAAGGTCCCCAGAAGGTCTCCCCAGCTGGAGCCTTCTCCTTCTATACTACTTCTGCTCTTATTTTTAAGCTAGATTGACCAAATGCCCTCTATACTTCCCACCACCACCTGCAGTTCCCCTGGGCATGAACCCATGCCCTCTATACTTCCCACCACCACCTGCAGCTCCCCACAAACCTTGGGCAGTTTGGCACTCCAAGCCTTCACTGACCATTTACAGCACTCAAAAAGTGCTAAAGAAAACACCACAAACTTCCTTGTGCCCCAAATAACCCTGAAAACAAGATGTCCACCTGCAGGAGAGCAGAAAGGGCCACAGCAGACAGGGACTGGACACTTTAATCCAGGGTGCAACTCGTCTGCCCCCAACTAATCCCACCACTGTTGGCTTGATCTCATAAACCTCCTCTGCTCTTTCTTTGCCACAGCTCCTTTTAGGTTTGGGTTGGTTTGTTGGGTTTTTTGGTGTGAGGAGAAAATTAGAAGGCTCTGTCTGTAAGCTGGGGGTTCAGGTGAGGTGGGAGGAAGGAATGATGGGGTTGATGGAAACAAGCTTGGGGGTATATAAGCTTCTAAATTCTCAGGCTGATAAAACAAGGGCAAGGGCAAAGTTTTCTTTTCTTTCTGAAGGGGGCAGAAAAATAAAGCAAAGATGAAAGAGGGAAGGAAGGGAAAAAGGACAGGGAAAAGGATGGGAAAAGGGATAAGGGAAGGGATGAGGAAAGGGAAAAGGCTGGAAAGGGAAAAGGAAAAAGAAAAAAGAGAAAGGAAAAGGAAGAAAGGGAAAGGAGGGGGAGAAGGGGGAGAGAAGGAGAAACCAAAAGTAAGGAAAAGGGAAAAGGAAAGAAGAAGAGAAGAGAAGAGAAGAGAAGAGAAGAGAAGAGAAGAGAAGAGAAGAGAAGAGAAGAGAAGAGAAGAGAAGAGAAGAGAAGAGAAGAGAAGAGAAGAGAAGAGAAGAGAGAAAAGAAAAGAAAAGAAAAGAAAAGAAAAGAAAAGAAAAGAAAAGAAAAGAAAAGAAAAGAAAAGAAAAGAAAAGAAAAGAAAAGAAAAGAAAAGAAAAGAAAAGAAAAGAAAAGAAAAGAAAAGAAAAAGAAAAAAGAAAAGAAAAAGAAAAAAGAAAAAGAGAAAAGAGGAAAAAAAAGGCCTTTCTGAGCAGCCTGTGACAGTCTCAAAGCCAGAAGACTCAGTGGACCCCCCAGCTGGAGCAGGACTCAGCAAACCTGGGTGTGCCTCAGACGGGGGCAAGAGCTGGTGAGGAGGTTTTGGGTATTTCAGGCACACCAGCAGATTGAGAGGACAGCAAGTGTGAAGCAGATTGTGGCTTCCCCTCCCTGCAGCCCTCCCCTTGGGCAGCCAGACAGCTCTCTGTTTAATGGCTATACCATCCAGGAACAAGCTGTCCTGATGAAGACGTCCAAGAGACTTGCAGACTGGAAGCTCTGAGCTCTTTGAAGGGTGTTCAGTTTACCAAAGAAAATGTGCAGTTTGACAGTGTGACTCCAAGTGAAATCAGCAGGAGATGGAAGAAACAAAGCCCCCAGCAGGGCTGTGGAGGTGGCTACATGAGCAGTGGGAAAGGCAATGCTGACAGCAACGTGTCATCTTCCTTTCCTGGCCTGGCCATGGAAAGCCATCGCTTCCAGGGCTGTCCCAAAGCCAGCAGGACAATGGCCAACCCAGGGAAAATCAAGGGTCTGAGCTGCAACCAAAGCAGCAAATCACAGAATCATTTTGGTTTGAAGAGACCTTTAAGATCATCAACTCCAGCCATTCCCCATCCCTGCCAGGTCCCCACTGCCCCGTGTCCCTCACCCCACATCTCCACGGCTTGGAACCCCCTCCAGGGGTGGGGACTCCACCCCTGCCCTGGGCAGCCTGGCACAGCCCTGGGCAACCCTCCAGGGCAAGAAATTGTTTCTCAGCGGCAACTGAAACCTCCCCTGGGGCAACTTGCGGCCCTTTCCTCTTGTCCTGTGGCTTCTTCCTTGGGAGCAGAGCCCGCCCCCCCCCTGGCTCCAGGCTCCTGTCAGGAGCTGTGCAGAGCCAGAAGGTCTCCCCTGAGCCTCCTTTGCTCCAGGCGCAGCACCCCCAGCTCCCTCAGCTGCTCCTCCCCACACCTGGGCTCTAGACCCTTCCCCAGCAGCTCCGTTGCCCTTCTCTGGCCACGCTCCAGCCCCTCAAGGTCCTTCTGGGAGTGAGGGGCCGAAAACTGACCCCAGGATTTGAGGGGCAGAGCTCAGGTGGATGATCCCTGCCCTGCTCCGGCTGGCCACACTAGTGCTGATCCAAGCCAGGATGCTTGTATGTCTAATAGAAAACAACCTTTTCCTAACAGCAGTTTCTGGGGTAACACAAGCCATGTTATAAAATTCCCCCCTCCCCCCTCAAATTAAGAATAAATTTGAGAAATAATTGCCCTGTACCCTAATGTCACTCCTTCCCCCAAGGCATGCACTGTGCAGGTTTAATCCGTGCACCTCTATAACCTTCAATATTAGTTTGGTGTGTCAAAATCTTAATTAACAGATTTTTACTGTGTTGTGAAGGAAAACTTGTGGCATTTCCCCAGTCAAGACGTTGAGCACGTCATTAGGAGTCAGCAGAAGTCAACATCAAGATCCCCCAGAACCTGCTTTGCCCTCCCTCCTCCTCACTGGCTTTCTGAGATTTAAAATAATGAACCTCCATAGTCTTCTGAGCAACCCTTTGGTTTCTGCATCACACAATTAATAGGACAACCTGGGAATCTTTTAAATCACTTAGGTCTGAAGAGGACTTGAAAGGCAAAATGTTTGACAGGCTTACAATAAAAACTCCTCCAAAAAATGTGCATTGGAACACACCACTGCTCTTCAATATTTAAGTAACCACAAACTGTGAGAACCTGCACAACTTTCCTTTGCAGTCATTTTTGGGGATTGTTTTTTTCCTTCCATTCTCAGTGGAAAAACAAAAAAATCACAAGTTAAAGCAACTGCAGAATGGGAAATGTTGAAACAAAGCTTGGAAGGTTTTGGTGCAAGCAGACCATAGGAGAGCCTGACAAGAAACAAGCTCAGCAGTCTGTGATGGAGAAGAAGAAGAGCAGGGAGGTGGGGAGACCACTGAGGTTGCTGATCTCACAGGGCCCAGGACTAGAGGGGCAGGAACAGAATGTTTCATACCAGTGATTCTTGACACTCACACTTGTTGAGTAATGGAGAATAGGAACAGTGTGGTACCAAGGGGAGAAAAGCTGCCAGAGGAATTGAGGAAAAACTTCTCCCCTTGCAGTAGCACAGGCTCTGATGGGGAAGAAAAACAGCTCTTCAGGTTACCAGGTTAATTGGCTAATATAACCTCTGCTGTGTTTTCTGACAAGGAAAGGCTGGACGTTTTATTCTCAGTAATAAAGCAGTCACTGGGCTCCCTGTAACCACCCTGCCACCATCCACCTCAGCAACTGCCCCCTCCACAGTCTTTCTGAGGAGCTCAGGGCTTCAGGATCTTTTTTTGGGATGGGATGGTGACATTTTCAGCCATGAAACAACACATTTTTCCAGATGAAAGCCACGTGGTTTGGATTTTATTTGTTCTGCTAAGTGAACAAGGGATGAGCTTTCATTTTAAGACAAAGAGAAGCCAGCAGGGCCTCACAAGAAAGGCAGCAGAGTTATTCCCAGCAGCCAGGATGTATTCAGATAGGGGTATTAGCAGGAATATTTGGTGCCATTCCACCAATCTTTGGTCAAAGGAGGTGAACTTTTTAAAAGAAGAGACAGAAAAGAGCAAGAGTCTTATCAACAGTTTGGTTTTGCTTTGGTCCTCTCCTCCTTTCCCCCTGGAAATTTGTAGATCTCATTCTTCAAGATATTTCTGAAATTCAGATTTTTTCTGGACCCATAGCTGTTGTTTTTCAAAGTCTAGCTACTCTGGGTGTCCTCAAGAGGCAACATTTTGGTTTTAGAAGAACTTTTGCTGAAGATACCTCAACAGAACAAGCTGCATGTTCCTTCACTCTGCTGAGCCAAGTCTGATGAAAGGTGGAGTGGTTGCACTGGCATTTTGAGTGTATTCCTGCACATCCTGGATGGCTCTAAGGGCTTCACTTGAATTCAGAAGGTGGCTCATCCCACTTGTGCTCAAATCCATACACAAACTATCAAATATCAATATTTCCAG